CTATCTATGATTATATTTAAATAATGTAAAACTACATAACTTGTTGAATGTAATTATGTTCTGATTATTATTAATAAAAGAAATAAAAAAAACTGGCACTCTCGTTAAGCTATACGGACGTTTTGTGTTACCATAAGTAAGGTAAAATGTTGATTTAGAGGTAAAATGCCACTTACAACTATTTATTTTACATCGGCCTCAAAATATTTTAAATATATTAAAATTTCAGAACACGTTTTATTTATTTTTATACCAAAAATTACAATTAAATAGCTAATAGTTGTTTTAAATGGCATGACAACACATAAAATTCTGCCATTTCCTCATAGCGAGTTTTGATCTTATATAACTGAAAAATCGTGCCATTCTATAGAAGACTCGAATTCTATAATATGTACTTGAAGTAAATAAAATATTGCAGGTGTTGCAAACCTGGAAATAAATTTAAATCATTATATGGAATGAAATAATTATTTCTCCATTTAATATAAATTATTGGTGAATGCAAAGTCCAATATTTATTGTCAGATCAAAATTTGATGAGCATATTAATTCAGTATTATTATAAAATTCGAGGTCAATACAGTAGTGAAACTACAATAGGGGCAACTAATTCTTCTTAATAACATTTTGTATTTCAAGAAATATGATTTATGCATTATGTATCAAATTAAAATTTTGTATATTACAATTTTGAAAATTTAAGTGAAATATATCTATTAAAAGAGTTTAATTAATTTATATCTATGAAAATTAAAAAAAATAATGAATATTTAATTTTTGAAAATCAATAAATTTATAGTTTTTCTGAAAAAAATTTTTTTTTCAAATTATTTATGCATTTTTATAAACATCAATATAAATTTATCAATAATAGGGCGGCAAAAATTTAAATTCGGCACTGGATAAATATATTATTAGTTTGAAGATACCTCATTTCAATAACGCTTCAATCGTAATAATTTTGTTTTCCTTTAAAATGAGATCATGCAAATAAATAATAACACTCAATAAGTCCGTAGAATATATTGTAACTAATTATTAATTCAATAGGATTCAATAGGCCACTATAAAATGTTATCAAGCAAATCCTAAATCATTGATTAAATTATATTATATCGAGCAAACTCAATAAGTTCCTACGGACTTATTTTATATTATTAATAAAAATTATTATGCAACAATATATTCTAACGTAAATTTATTCAATGTTGATTAATAACGTAATATACAATCGATGTAAAATTGCTGGAAAATGTTCATTATTTTGATCGAAATTATATTTTATAATTAAATTGCAGAAACAAATTCATTATTTTGGCATCTGTAAACAAATTATCATCCGAAATACGTACACGTGCGATACGAAATGCTGAATTTGTTAAGTTTTTTTATGATCAAATTCGATTAATTTTTATGCATCTAATATCAAATTCGATTAATTTTTATGCATCTAATATTATGCAAAACTTACATACGAAAACCTACAATAATTGTTATATATATTAAATAATATTATATGTGTAAAATTAATAATAAAAGAATGCTGGTAAGAATTCATTAAAATAATTTTCGTAACGAATCGAAATGGTTAACATGTGCTAATTTATGAATTATTTGGCTTCTAAATAAACAAATATTATAAAATACATACCAAACAATGCTGCACTTTGTCACAACTTTGATGAATGGCATCAGACGACTAAAATCAATGTAAAAGTATAAAATCGATCAACTGCATAAATCTTATATTTCGTATAATAGACTGGAATATTGCTTTTGTTGACCTTACACACAGTTATCACATAATTACGCAATTTTACAAAATCACTGCCGAAGACAATCGCTCGATCGCTATCCAATTGAATGACTGATAAGAAATCGAGATTTATTGTGAAGCTATCTATGGTCTATTGTCATTGCTGGCTGAATTGGAAATCATCGAGGAATTTGTGACAGGCCTCCTTGCGCCGGTGCATTGCAGCACTTTTATTCCGTACTGAAAGACAAAATTATAATTGTAGTTATATATATATATATATATATATATGTGTGTGTGTGTGTGTGTGTGTGTTTGTATATTATATATTATTATTTTATCATAAGCCAGTTATTGAAGTGTGCACCAGCGCTGGTGCACATCCACATGCGCACGTGGATGGATACTCAACTGCATTTTAGTAGCATACCATTAAATTGCAACTAAAATTATAAATGTAACAGTTCGCTTTGACTAAACAAATATATGATTTGATTTTTTTTTCTAAAATAAAATTATTAAATAGTTTTTTTTTCATTTATTCCTTATTACGTTTCGGGGACATGGGACGTTTTCTTTCTCAGAAACTATGAGACTAGAAATTTGTCTAAATTAGACACTCAATGAAAATCAAACTGTACGTTCATTAAAAATTCTATGTGAAAATAAATTAAAATAGGTTTAATGGCCAAATGATGTAAATCGAAAGCCAAAAATCAAATAATAAAAAAAACTCGAGCTACTAATATTTGCATTTGTGAATACGTATAAAGACTGTCAATTTGAATTTTTCACGAGCGCCTAATTTAGAAAAATTTAGCTTCATTGTTTCTGAAGAAAGAGCCATTCCGTATCCCCGAAACGTAGAATAATTTTTTTTACAAACAAATAATTGATAATTTAATTTTTATTTGAATCTACATTTCTGCGGAATATGGGATGTTTCCTTCAGGATACGTGTAACGAAAAATCTTTCAAAATTTGCCACTCATTAAAAATCAAATTGTACATTCACTAAAAATTATATATGAAAACACCCGAACTATAAATGTTAACATTTGTGAAATGTTTGTGAATACTTATAAAGACTGTCAATTTAATTTTTGATAACTAAAATTTAGAATAATTTTAGTTCAATAGCTCTTGATGAAGGCCATCTCATATCTGCAAAACAAAAATGAAATAAATAAATTAAATAAATATTTTTCTGAGGAAAAAGGAGTTTCTTTTTAGAAAATTAAAATGATAATGGCTATGACACAGATTTATTTATATCGAATATGATGATAATATATTTTATTTGAGTTTAAAGATCGGGCGTTACATTTTTCGATGCAACGCTCAATCATAAATAATTGCAATTACTTGGTAAAAATATGAGCAAGAATTGAGCAAAGCACATTTTTTGACTACATTTGAAGTGATTGAATTATCAATACCAAACTATCAATAGAACATAATTATTATCTGTTGGCACCTAATTTAATTTAATTACATTAACTAATTGTAAGTTGAAAGTGACTTTATTTCCTGTTCAATTCCTATTAAAACCCTACCTTTCAATCAAAAAATCTAATATAAATTTCTAAAATTAACAAAATATATCTAATTTTTCTGAATTTGGTATAAAAACAGTGAAATGCCTAAACAGTTTGAAAAATAAGAACGTATCTCATTGCGAGATTGATATAACGTTAAAAATCATGTTTATTAATTTAAAAGCGTAGGATTGAATATTGCTATTCCTAAGTCTCTAGGCTGAAATATATAAGTCGATCATAATAAATAAGGCAAATAATATCATCTTACTAATCATAATTAAGTGCGTTTAAATAGTAACTATTACAACGTATATTTTATATCATTTTATTCTTAAAGTCAATACTTGGCATATCATTTAATCGCTAATATCAATTAAACTCGATTATCGGTCATAATTTTAGCTGAGTTAAATTAATTGATTATAATCCTAAATTGACCAGACTAATTGAAATTTAATAAAATATCACAGTAGTAAACAATTAATTTAAAATATCTAATAAAAGTAACAAAAATACAAAAATATATTATAAAATAATTATAATATTTGTTTCTCCATAATCAGTATGATACATATTACTTAATGGTTCAACAGAAATATATAAAAACGATGACTTTTCAAAAGTAAATTAAAAATTTAATCAAAAAAATTTTTAATCCTATCACTATTACTAATCCTAACAAAGTTTCTATATATCATTATGTGAGTTATGCTACAAATTACTTTTGTTAAACAAATAAAAATGAGCAACTGAAATTTCAACATACAATATAATTTAATAATAACCAAATAAAATTATTAGTTTCTTGCATAATCACATTTTCTTCATGAGATTAATTTCAACAACCGCTTAATGCCTTTTGACATTTTGACACGTCTAGTCGAATAACATTTTCTGTCAATGAATTCGTTAAATATTTTATTAAACATTAATAAGCATATGTTATTTAACTATTATGTTATTTACACTTTTTTATTTAAACGTTCGAACACTCGATAAGTGTCATCATTCAGTAAATCATAGCAGGTAGAACAAAACTTAAAGTTAAAACATTTTCTTTCATTAAAATAATAACAAACACCGAAACCAAACACCAAAACACCGAAATTTTGTTAATAAAATAATGATGCTTAAATTCATGATTACTCAAATCGAACCAAGTCTGAAATTCGATTTGAATGATAATGGTTAGTTAACTATAATTTTAATAGTTTTAGTATAATTGTAAAACGATAATATTTAACAACCAATATTTTTCTACGTACTTTTTTTTTAAGAAAAGGTACATAGATCTTCAATATTCTGTAATCATCAATATTGTAATTTCATAAAAAATGATTTTCGACAGAAGAACCTGATGATGAAACGCATCTAGTACAGGAACAACGTAATTAAACATCTACAAAAAAAAATTATTCATTGGATTAATTGTTCTGTGAGGAACATATTAATTTATTGAAAAATCCAGTATATATATATATATATATATATATATATATATATATATATATATATATATATGTATGTATATGTATATGTGTGTGCGTGTGTGTGTGTGTGTGTGTGAAACAAGCACCCTAACCACTTCGCGATGATCATATATTTCAAATTTCATTGTAGTCTCCTTTGTCAATAGTTTTAACGTGACCCTTACTACCTGTAACTAATAAGTAATAAAACTAATATATTAAATATTCTTGGTTGATGTATTTAACAAAATATATATTATAACATTAACGTCAAACATCTTTTACTAAAATATAAAACCAGTTGAAAAATAATTTCATCTATCATATGGAATACTTATCAAATCATGATTTTCATTTCTATAAAATAATTTAGACAATATTATGTGTAAAGTCTCACTGTCGCGTCGGCTCCCGTCGAAAATAACCAAGGCTGCTGAGGATGGAACATTACTTCAAAAATACCAAAATCATTAAATGATTCATGATACTGTAATCTTTTTACTGGTACAATCAGCGGATTTTGTAACAGATCACTGCAAGAAATATGAAAAATTATATTCATAGAAGAGACAAAACGATAACCAAATTCTATAAGCAGCTTAAAGTTGCGCACAAATAAATACATATGAAGTAAAGAAAACAATATATGCAAACCAAGTTCTTCGAAATCCTAATGTTTACTATTTACTACTAGAAGCTACAACCAAGAAGCCTCATTTACATGGGTCTGAATCAGAAAATGCTTGAATATCTATAAGGTTAAATAGACCAAGATTTTTTTAAAACTTGTGTCAATCCTTCATTATTATCAAGCCAATCATTATTTGTGTGTATTGCTATCTTGTTATTCTACACTAAAATGTTACACACTACACAAATTATGGTAAAAAACATATTTGATATTTTAAACCATTTTTAATTTATTAGTATCAGTCTTTCCATCCTTGAAGTTTATTAATTCATTTACAAATTGTGAAATAATACATAGGGGCATAACAAAATGATAAAACAAATAAAATGGTGAAATTACATGGGGCTGACGGATATTCAAAGTAGTCCTTTGCAGAGTGTTATGCCAGTAGCACACCTTCCGAAACTGTTAACATGCAGCTGTACAAAGGAAAAGTACTCTTGTGGTGTAAAGATGACCACGCATTAACAAGTGCAAGGATTATCACAAGTATGCTGCAATCATGAGCGAAAAACTTAGTTTCATTCACTTTGCAATGAAAGTATAAATGTTTTCTTATCATGCTATTAGTATTTGTTAATAATTTTTTTGATAATTACATCATGATTAGAATATTAGCTGCATACATGCAAAGAATATTAGTAAAAAGCAAACTTTATAAATAAGCCATTTCAATTTCTACCATTTACAACTTATGGAGCCAAAAAATTATTGAAAAAACCATTGAACAAAATTCAACTCAATAAATTTTGAGCAGGTAGCAATCCTCAAATACCATTAATACTAATACAACATTAAAATGCACATAGAAAAATAATGTATTTACACTTACTTGTATACCATCCCATGAGATATGATCAAACTTCTATCATCAGAACCGGATGCAAACAATGGATACCGCTTATGAAAAGCTACACCTCGAACTGCAGTTCCATGCAATCGTAATGTTTGGTAAGGTTTTGTTGACAGATCCAAGTCAAACCTGTGAAAATTTTAAATATACATAAATGTATTTGTACCAATATTAACATCTTCACAATAGAATTTAAAATATCTTTGAATTGTTTAGCAGTTTAGTGATACGATTATTTTAGATATCTAAGAGGTAAAAAATATGTAAAGATGCTGATTGTCTTACCACAACATTTTTCTATCATATGTGCCAACTAATAAATTATCGCCCGCAGGGTGAACAGCCATACAAGATATCCATCTGGAGTTACTCAACAACTTTTTGACTAATTCTTGTTTCACCAAGTCATATATACGAACATTACGTTGTGTCTATCATATTATGTAAAAAATAAATGTTAGAAGTATAATTAAATGATATAATATCAATAAAAAAATAAAATATGAAGTAGGTACTTACAGCAACAAAGAAAAATGGCCTAATAGGATGAAATAGAACACACTGCACCAGACCTTTACTTTTGCTGAATGGTAACTGTGACCTCCTTTTAGACAGCTGATGTATAATTACAGACCTATTTTGACCTTCTGGCATAACTGTAGCAAAATAATCCCCTCTGCCATGCCAAGTTACCTAAACAAGCAAATTATCTATTTACCTAATTGATTAAATGACTACTACTTTATGTCTCTATTCTGAATAATTTACCTGTTTAACTTCTTTAAAATGATTTAAGACAACTCTTATACCATTGTACCATTCATCACTACTAGCTTGATCCCATTGTACTGCAGTCTTTACTCTTTCAGGTACTAAAATAACAAACAAGCATAAAAATAAATAAATAAAATGGCATATATTGACAAATATTGAATACACAAAAATATTGCTTACAACATTCTTGGTCTACATACTTATAATATCGGATGGTGCAGGTGGGGTTTCCAGTAAGTCATCAGTTTTCTTAACAACTAATTGGTCACCAACCCTAGGATTAATTAATAACACTTTACGATCCGCAGCTACAGCCAAAATGCTTAAAGCTGGAACTGGACTCCAAGCAATACTACGTATTGTCCCCGTACATGATATTGTGCGCAAGCAACGGCCGGTGCAAACTTCCCAAACTACAATATAAGAAAATATTAAGTACTTTATTTCATATAAATTAGTTTCCAATGCTAAATAGTGATTCTATTAAACTTAAATAGAATGGCTTTACATTAACAAACTCAATTATTTTCATAAAAGTTATTAAAATCTAAACAGATTAAATCTAATTGAAATAATATTTTCATTTGCATCTATTATATCTTCAATTGTATTTTTTTTCACACACAAAACGACCAATAAAATTAAATGCATCAGTACATGCTAATAAAAAAAAATCACACCTTTTACTGTCATGTCATCAGACCCTGTAGCCAGATATTGTCCAAGACAATCTATTGTCATGCACCTTATCATGTCTTTATGTCCCTTATAGACGAGACTTTGTACAGTAGGGAATGGCTGCAAATCTTTAGGACTTGGTAGTTGTGGTACCAAAGCTTCCGGTTCAATAGTCAACTGTAGACCAACATGATGATATTATAAATTGTCAAAATATCAAGTAAAAGTTCTATTATATTTCTTTACTAAGCTCAACTAAAAAAAGTATCTATGAAAATAAACAATTAAGACTATGGCCTAATATTAGGCAGTTTAATTTGGAGTAAGACATGGCAGCTCAAAAATATATTGTGAGAAAATGCCATATTTCTCATATTTCAAAAGCAAACTCAAAAAACATGAAAAATATATTATTCAAACAATATAATTATGACACGAACAATGTATCTGTAGAATCAATAGTTCAAAATGTACTTCTCAACTTTTTTCTTGAAGCACTTAATTTAACAAGTTTTAGTATTTTAAAATACTATTACTACTACTTCAACATAATTACTTCATTAGAAGAACTGTAGTGAAAACAAAATAAAAATTGCTTAACTTACTGAAATTAAATGGTGTATTCTAGTCCAATGGTTAAAAAAAAAATCTGATATGTTAAAGTTAGCCAAGTCGGTCAAGAATATATTTATTCTTAAAACATTAATTAATGGCATGGATAATAGAAATAATATTTGCCTTTTTCAAAAGCTTTCAAAAATTTCATAATATTCGGGCTCATAGTGAAATAAATGTAATGACTGTGTCATCCATTACAATCAATTTTAACAGTAATAAATATATAATACTATATATAATAATATATATACAGTAAACCCTCGCTTTACGCGGCAAGTGCGTACCGTGCAGTATGGGAACCGTGCTATAAGAAACTCGTATTTAACATACAATTCAGGCTAATTCGTAGTGCGTTCTATGGAACCTTACATAGTGCAGTATGGGATCCGTGCTATGAGAGACTCAGAGTTGGTACAAATCGTACCATTTATATCGCGCTGTATGGAGACCAAGGAATACAACTTGAAGTAGGAGTAATACGGACGAAATGACATGTAGGACATTGATACCTTATTCAAAAATTGGCGCGACACAGTATTCAGCTCAAACGTGTTCTTAGGCAGCTATTATATAATCAAGCATGTCTAAAAGATAACAGTCGATAACAAAATTTACATCAATACCCGTTTGCACAACGAACTTATGGGCTGTTTACTAAATACCGTGTAATAAGAAGTCCGTGTAGTCGGAGGGATGTCGGATTTTTAGCTCCGTGTAGTATGGGAACCGTGTACCTAGAGTGCCGTGTAAAGCGAGGGCCTACTGTATATATATATATATATATATATATATATATATATATATAAATATGTATGTATAAAATTTACTAACTCTCATTTTTATAGCTCTGGGACATAAGTAAAGGTCAAGACAACGTAAGAAACGTTCCTTGATGTATCTTGAATATGATGGTACTTCGCGTAGTGAATTATATTTTTCAGGTACAAAATGTAGTTTACGCTTCCATGGTGTGTCCTTTTGTTTATTCCATTGCTTCAATTCTTTCTTGTCAAATAGATATTCTGGAGGTGGGTTGTAACTTTCAGCATGACCTATGAATAAATATAAGTTTATAATATATACCAAAACAATCATTATCAGTTATAGTCATATACTAACCTGGCAAGTGTCTTTTCGGCGCCGCAATGTGTTTATGAATTCTACGCATATGTTCAGGCTGATCATCAGCAGACCAAAGCATATAAAATTGGGGATCTTTCTTTGCACGTTCCTGATCACGCTCAGCTTTTGTTTTAAGCCAACCCATCTTCAAAGCATGAACCATTTTTGATACCTAGTCACATAAAAACATTAGGTAATTTACAAAATTAAAATTATGCATATATTATAGTAATACATGTTTAAATGTTTTTATTTTAATGACTTCAAATTATATCAGTGAACAGAAGTTGCTATTTTGATTAACATATTTGGAAACAGCAATGTTTCTTAAACCACTAATCTCAAATAAAATGTATCTTAATGATATAAAATTAAATGTATGTAATATAAAAAAATTATTTTCATTAGTTGAACAATGATATGAGCCGCTCAGTGCACACATCGATTAACTCCATAAAACAAAAAGTTGAGAAACACGATGATTTGTTTGATATTGTTTTTTAAAATTTCCCTGATAATATGAATTCAAATATAAATGTAGAAGCGTCGATGCACGGCCAGAACAGATACAGCGTTACTGAAACGATTTACATTATACAGAGTATGGAGTTAATCGAAATGGCTTCTGAAATAAATTACTTATTATTCAATGGCCAAAAAAAATTTGCCATTTAACGGTGCTAATCTTTATTATTCCGGAAAGTTATTATAAATACTAAAAGTTATGATTATACCAAGTTCTTTCCCACTAATATCTTAGTTTTTTCAAAAAGTAGAGTTAGTCGATGTGTGCACTGAGCGGCTCATATAATTAATTGCACAATTTTATATTTAATCTAAATAAAAAATAAATTTGTGTACATATGATCATGTTTGTTCTTTTCATTCAGTATGTTTTATAATTAATAATGATATTGCATTCAGATTTTATCTGAAGATAAATATGTCAGTTAATTCAGCAAGATTATTATAAAATTATCGAAAAAGTTATGAAATCGATTTTATTATTAAACCCAAATTTAAATAAAGTATCTGTATACATAGATAACTAACTCACTTTATCTTTTTCTGATTTGCTAGGCAGAAATGATCTCTTGTGTTCAGGAAAACTGCGAATAGGTGTCTTCATAACCTCAGATGTAAACCAATCAATCCATGGCTAAAAGATAAATTGTATAAAAAATAAAAATTATATTTACTGGACATATTAAAACATATGTTGCCAACTTACGCCAAATTCTTCATATGTACTATCAGGTATTCTCTGGGCCTGAATTCTTTGAATCAATTTTATATCATTTTCACTAAGCACAACATCTTGACCAGTCTGTGGATCTTTAACAGTTCTCCAGAAATCTGGGTCTTCCATCCTGGCCAAAAATGCATCGATTTGATCTGAGTTTTGCATACCCTCTGGTTTTGGAATTTTTTTGCCATCCCAGTCATAGCCCAAATGTGAGTATTCATTATACCAGTTCATCGGTATATTGCCAACAGTATTTCTAATGTCCTAGATTATAATTATTATTAAAGCAATTTTTTAACTAAATTATGAGTATTATGCAGTTAATGGGTGATAAAATACAAAACATACATGTTTCATAAATTATAAAACTATATTTATCAAACAAGTTTACAAAAAAAAAAAAAATACACATCAATATTGATTTACAACGCTTTGTATTACCTCTTCATCCGACGAATCATGTTTATATTCATCTTTGGACACCACACTTTTTCCATCACTATTGGTACTAACTGTGTCAATGAGTTTAGACCTAGCTAATTTTTTTATTTTCTGATAGTCTTTCGACTTTGGTATATCAACTGAAACCTCACTCTCATCAGAATTGTCATCAATATTTTTCGAGTCATCTGTAGCAGGGTCCATTGCACTAGATAAGTCAGAATCATCATATTCTGGTCCCTCCTCCATTTCATCCCCACAGTCTTCGAAATCCTCGTTGCCATCACACTGATGATCTAAGTCCTCGTCGGCTGAGTATTCTTCGGCATCAAGCTGACCTTCATCAAAATGATCGTCGTCAGTATCACCTTCGTCCTCTGTGTTCTCGCCTTCCACGTCATCGTCACTTTCTTCTCCATCCATGAATTCAGTGCTGCACTCAGAATCTGCATTATCAGATTCTTCAGAACCTGAACTGTCCACTATCACCATGTCCGTGAGCTCCAATCCATTCTGAAAAATAATCCACATATTAGAAATCGAGGAAACCTATTTAATCTTAATATAATTCATCACTAATATTAGGTTGTCAAATATCTCCCTTCCGCTTTTTTGCTCTTGGTTTATAATACAAAAAGGCGGAAGGGAGATATTTGACAACCTTATATTTCGACAACCTCAAATTCAATATAAGAACAATAAAATTTAAGTTTCTTCAACAAATATGTAATAATATTTAAAATGATTAATCAATGTTTCTAATACAAACATTATAAGAGAACACTATCGGTAAGTACATAATTGATAACCTATCATATTTTGCCTATACTAAACGATAGAGTACTTGTCATTAAATCAAAGTGGAAAATTATAAAGTAATTGTTTTATTCCTAGGTGGTAAAAACGTGTGTAACTCATTTTGATGCATCTGACAGAAATTTAAGACATTTTGGTGCATCAAACATTTTCGTGAAGAACAGACCTTAAAGCTGTCAGAGTAAAACAAAATTATGGAAATAATAGCACCAAAGGTTCATATATTAATTAGAAAATAAACATATTTAGCATACATCAAGAGATATAAAATTGCAATCAAAATCGCTATTTACCTCAAGTCCATTAGTTTTAGAAATGCTAGCGACGTCTTCATCATATCGTTTCGGTACATCCTTGCTTCCTTTACGTTTCAGAGTACCATTCGGGGCCATTATGTTACATTACTTAAAACCAGAATTATTTGCAGTCGAAAATCTTCAACCTGAAATTTTGAAGACAGAAGTCGAGTTTAACCACTACTTTTGAGGTTAGTTATTCCTTCAGCTAAAACACGTTGTTCCACAACAATTTTGACGGCACCCGGCGGAGGGCACTACGCGTTATGAGCAAATTTTAAACCAATCAAAATGAACACACCGAATGCGAAATAAAAAAGAAAAACAAAATCAAGATAAGCGTTTGCTTTGGAATGCACACGAGTAAACAATTTATACCCAAATCAAAACAATTGATATCAACCGAACGCTGTTGAAAAAATTTGTTTATTTTTAATCAAATTTCATTGGCTCGCGAAAACCTGACATTTTTCATATATCAAAACTAACTTTAGCAAAACATTATATTAGGTTGTCAAATATCTCCCTTCCGCTTTTTTGCTCTTGGTTTATAATACAAAAAGGCGGAAGGGAGATATTTGACAACCTTATATCTGTTAAATAAGTTTACATATGGTATTTTGATCGTTTTATACTTGTAATGAAAGAATTTTAAATTAAATTAGTTGAAGTTAAAAGTTACAAATCTGTAAAAAAAAAAGGATTATTAACTTCTCGTACGGGAAGTTATAGTAAGGGGGCGTCCATTAATCACGTGAGCAAATTTTTAATGATTTTTGAACCCCCCCCTCCCCCTTGATAATACATGATGATATTCAAAATTGCCGCCCCCCCCTCCCCTACCAAACATCACGTGTATTTTTGGTTACGTGATAAAACTGTAAAATTTTTGATTTTGTTTTTGAAAATGTTTGAATTTTTTTAAAAAATTAGTTAAAAAGTAATAACACGTGATCTTTTACTATACCCCTTATTTATCTAGGTATACCCCTCCCTCTTCACATAATTTTTTGTGATTTTTTGTTAACCCCCCCTCCCCCTAAAAACGTGATTAATGGACGCCCCCTAATCGCAAAAAAATCGAAAATGAAAACTTTTATATATCTTTACGTTTCAGGGGTTTCTAAACAAAACGCGTTTCAATATTTCGTCTCTATGCAAGTTAAAGCAGTACGATTGCCTTGAAAAAAATTCAGAAATACCAAAATATTTCAAAATAAAGAAAACATTTTTTTTCAAAAAAAGGAAATTTTTGTCAAAAATTTATAGTTTCTCCTAAATCTAATTTTTTCAAATTAAAATTTTTTCAAAAATGTTAATTTAAAAAAAAAAAAAATAAGTTTTTGTACGGGAAGTTCCAGCAATTTGCCTTAAGGCACGATGCCATGCGCCCCAGGTACTCGATTAGTACTAATCGAGTGGTACTCGAGTTATAACCAATAGAAGCGCTATTCTACGCGTAGATGTGAATAAGGGTCTTGAGAACCCTTTATCAGAAAACGTTAACTTATACGAACTTATATGAGCCAAGTTGTTGTTAAATGAATATGTATATGAATAAATTGGATGCGACGAGATAAAATTTTAATTACAGCATATATTTAAGTAGATATAGGGGGCAATTCTGCCTTATAAAATACCGTTATCTTATTCTTGTTTCTTGTTAGTGAATATTTGAGAATGTCTATAAGCAAGGATGAATGTTATGATAACAGAATTCTAGATGGTGCAGTTATCATAAGATTCTTCCTTGCTTGTTTATATGTAAAATATGCCTGATCGCACAAAAAATAGATAGACATTTTCACATATTCACTATCAAGAAGCATAAGATCAATTTTGTTTTACCTGATTCTAGCAATAGCTGACTGGTCAATTAAGCTTCTCACCAATATTCACGCTGCAATCTAGTCTGAATACCGATTTTTTATGTTTTTTTGTACCGAATGTTCAGTATCAGTATTCAATACAAATCATCGTCCAATCATCGACGCTGATGTAGAGAAAGGCGTTGAAATTAAATTTGATTTTCAATAATCATCAAACTTGAAACTATTCAATATTGAAAGACGGTTTAAATTCTGTGGAATTGAACTCAGCATGCATTATATACAGGATCAATTTTGTTTTACCTGATTCTAGTAATAGCTGACTGGTCAATTCAGCTTCTCACCAATATTCACGCTGCAATCTGGTCCACCTGTCATATTTGATTTATTTATTTTAATTAAAAATGTCTGAATGCCGATTTTCTATGCTTTTTCCGTACCGAATAGTCAGTATCAGTGTTCAAGGTGAAATCTATGTCCAATCATCGACGCTGAAGTAGAGAAAGCCATGGATAGCAACAAGTGATACCAATCAGCTCAATGATCAGATACATACAAGTGAAGTTACCTTTAAACCATAGATAAAAGCAAAAATATATAAAAATAAGATTGCCAGTTTTTAGTACCACTTTATATGAAAACTACTACATAACACAGCCTTGCCATAAACATAGTCTACGGAAGAAAAACCTCCTAATTGTAGCAATATTATTAATAAAATATGAGCAGCATCATTAAATCTTCATATTCAATTATTAGATGAAAATGTGACAAATTACACAAATTTTAACTTATTATAAACTTTAGGAGACCCCGTAAAGTGCGTCCGCAGCTACAAATTTGTGGTTCAACATTAAATATTGCATTCGTTAAACTTATTGGCGTGAAATTGAATTTGATTTTATATAATCATCAAATTTTAA